TCCAACTATTAATAGCTTGCTTAAGTCAGCTACACTGTTTGAGTGCTAGCCCATTGTGTATGTGCTTAAAGCATTTGCTTGTTAAGTGCCATACTATTGTTTGTTAATTCCTGTACCCTCATCTGATGACTGTTCTACCAGTTTCCTCCATGATCAAACCGCCTTAAAATCATGGTGAGTCAGTGTGCTGGCTCTGAGCACGACTTTTCAGGAGAACCCATCAGCTACACATTATTACTAAGCATCTCCAGACCTCTAGTTCTTAAAAAGGAATCTGCACATTTTGGTTCCTACATTGTAGATTGAAGCTGAGTGGATTGAATTCAGTTAAAACTGGGTAAAAATTACTGCTATCATCTGTGTCGATACCAAATGAACATCCTAAAAGAGGGGGAAATTGCTAAATACAAGAGAGGGAAGGCAAAAGGAATAAATACCAAATGAACATTTTAAAAGAGGGGGAAATTACTAAATACAAGGGAGGGGAAAGCAAAAGGATAAAAAGGAAAAGAAGAGAATTTGCCCCTAGTGTATTGTGGTGGGTGAGCCATAAGGGTTTCTGAATACCTTTCTCTTTGTTGGAGTAGAGAAGACGACTTCTCAGCTGTTGTGTGGAAAATTGCCAGCACAGCGCGGTTAGTCTGTAAAGGTGAATGAGCTACAGGTCTTGTTTTATGAATGAATCCCTGTATTAATTCACTGGTTTTAGGATATGACCGCACGGGATCTACTACAGCAGAGATACACGCTCCCGAATGGAGACACTGCCTGGCGGTCCTCACCCCTTGTGAGTGCTGCTCTGGAAGGAAAACTTGTCCTCTTAGACGGTATCCATCGGGTCAACGCTGGCACACTCGCTGTACTGCAAAGGTTTGGATGAGTTATTGAAAATGCCTACTTAAGCAGTAGACAAGTAACTGTCTCTTTTGTTTCAACTGGGTTACATAGATTCTCAAACTTGTAATTGATATCTACTGATTATTACAATAAACACACAATTTCTAAAATTGGTCAGAGTCCCAACTTCAGTGTTACGAACTTCTTATTAATCATGGATCTGATTTATTGGTTGGTCCTTTTGGAATTTATTTCTTTTGGAAAGACAAAGAAAAAAATGTGTGTTTATTTGGATAGAATGTATAATAGCTGCTTGGCTATAGGAAGGGGCTTCAAAAAGTTTGTGGAAAAATGGAATTGAAAGATAGTGGAATTTTTCCACGAACATTTTGAAACCCCCTCATATTTTCTAAAGGCTAAAAAAAAAAGCAAAAAAGCTCATGTCGTGACTGCAAATGCAAACATTTACATAACTATCATTTTCTTATTTCCTTGTTTGTGGGAAATAATGTCTACATGTTCTAACTTCTCTAAAATTTAATGTTAAGAGAAGGCACTATGTAGGAAAATATTCCTGTCTTGTGTGCTCTTTTAGGACATTGATGATGCTGATAAATTTTTACCACATGTGGTTTTGTAACATAGACACTTGGTTTTTCATCTTTGATTTAACTGGAAAGATCACCTAAGTAGAATAAACCATTTCCCCAAGCTAACTATACAAATATATATATATATATATTTTTTTTTTCTATGACAAAGTAGAGATTTCAAGTATAATTGAAGATTCCAAATACATTGTGTTAATCCTGAGTAGATTTGTGAGCATTTAAAAATAATTATTACCGTCCAGTGATTTACCATAAATATTCCATAGAGTTTCACTATTTTTATCTTCCAAACAGACAACTGCAGACACAAAACAAAATGTTTATATGCCTCATGCCACTAGCTTTTTACTGACTTTCTCTTACTTGTTTAGTCAAGTAGTAATAACAGAAGCTGCGCAGCTACCATTGTGTGCTTCCTCAAGATTGGCCATTGTGCAGAATCCCTGGTTCTTAGGCTCTCAACCTTGGAATCACTGTACTGGGGTGGAGGTTAACTGGGCTCCACCGCCATCAATTCTAATGTTTTTGGTCCAGGGTGATGGCTGAGCTCAGCATTTCTAAACACTTTCTAGGAGATTCTAGGGTATGGCTATAGGATAAATACTGGACTGTAAGTAGCAAATTCAGCAGTTTAGACTCACCAGCTGCTCCTTAGAATACTTACACAATGTCTCTATGAGTCGGAACTGACTCAACAGCACGTAACAACAATATTATATTAACTGTTTCATTTCCACAGGTGGACATTATTATACTCATTTGAAAAAATATAAACAGAGAGAGAGAGAGAGAGTGACTCTTCCTCTTCCCCAGTCAAGTAGCTAATAAGGTGCAAAGCTGGATTTGAACCCAGGCCTGAGGCTCCTAACCTCTGCAGTATGCAGTTTACCCTCAATGCCAGTCGAATGGGCATCATGTGGGCCAATGCTGACTTGGGTGTCTTGAGACTTTAGTGGTTGTTGTAAGATCCAAAAGTGTTTTTCTTGTAAACTTTGCAACATCTGGAAGACAATGCTGCTTGTTCCTGGTGTGAGTAGTTAGGTCACTGCCTTAGCTGGTATGTGAAAAAACATTGTAGTTATTTTATTATAAAGAATTTTGAAATCTTGTCATTTCGAAGAGAAATATCTTGATGATACTACCCTTTAAAGAGTATGTGATCCAAGAGAGTATGTGCTCACTGCCTTGATCATTACCATGCACTTCATGGTTATCCCAAGTGACTCCTTCCTTGCCCCTCGCCTTCTCCCTTCTTGGTTCCTCCTTCTTATTAACTTGTAGTGTTTCATGGCTTGTAAAAAAAGCAAAAACAAAAACAAAAGATTTTTCAAGTATGACAGCCATAGCCAACTTGTAGTTCCAAGTAATTCATCTAACAAAATTGGTAGACTGAGTTTGTTGTTGTTAAGTGCTATTAAGTCGATTCCGACTTATATTAATCCTGTAAAGGGTTTCCAAGGAATGGCTGATGGACTTGAATTGGCTAATTTGTTGTTGTTGTTAAGTGCCTTGGAGTCGGTTCTGACTCATAGCGACCCTGTACAGGATTTCCGAGGCTATAAATCTTTATGGGAGCATAAAGCCTCATCTTTCTCCAACAGAATAGCTGGTAGTTTTGAACTGCTGACCGTGAGATTAGCTGACCGTGAGATTAGCAGCCCGATTCATAACCACTACGCTACCAGAGCTCCTTATATAGGGTAATGTTGTTGTTAAGTGCCGTTGAGTTGGTTCAGACCCATAGCGACCCTGAACAGGGTTTCCGAGGCTGTAAATCTTTACGGGAGCAGAAAGCCTCATCTTTCTCCTGTGGAGCAGCTGGTAGTTTCGAACTGCTGACCTTGTAGTTCGCAGCCCAATTCATAACCACTACGCTACCAGAACTCCTTTGTATAGGGTAATAGATGTGATTAAAATGTTAACTGACTGGAGAAACTGAGCATCTGAGGACTCTAGACTCTTGGAAAGGTAAAGACTGTGTGTTGGCAGCAGGAGGCAGGCTTGCAGAATGTGCCCTTTGGTTGTTTAATTGATTATATATTTCTAAGTATTTTTGTGTACATAAAAAAAAAAAGGCAATAGAAGCAAATACTGTTAAATTATGACGCATGGAGGAGATTGTAATCATTGCAATGAAACAAAATAACAATAGGATGAGTGCAAAACCGATGTTCTCCCATGTAAACTATCACTCAATTCACAATAAAAGCTTTAACAAAAAAGGAATGTTAATTTGCTGATTCTACCGACCACAACTTCAGTGTTCTAATGTGATTGATTTGTTTCCTAACGTTTTCCCTTATCTTATTAGGCTGATCCATGACCGAGAGCTAAGCCTGTATGATGGTTCTAGGCTGCTGAGAGAAGACAGGTATATGCGTTTAAAGGAGGAGCTAAAAGCGTCTGATGAGGAGCTGCAGGAGAGGTAATCCTGAGTTCATATCTGTCACCTGTTTGCTGTGGGTACCATCTTCTTATTGTTTCTATACTTAGGGTCACACCAAGGTAACTTTGACTGGTTTACTCATTTGGTATTCTAGGCATGGTAGTAATTTGTCATTTCTTAAAGCTTGAGATTGCTAGACACGATGTCCTTTGCACTGTCAGCCTTCCTTTAAATGAGTTTTGAAACATTCAGACCCACTGTGATGACTTGATTGAGACTCGTAGCAATCCTATAGGATAGAACAGAACTGCTCCTTTGGGCTTCCTACACTATATAAATCTTTACCCACTAGCCGCCTCATCTTCCTCTTGTAGAGCAGCTGCTGTGTTCGAACCACTGACCTTGTGATTAGCAGCCCAATGTTTAACCCATTTAAACATTTAGAAGAACATTAATTTTAAGAAGATAATCCCTCTTCTGTTGCCCTAGCAACTCAGTTTTGATTCCAAACTTTGTATTCCTTTGGCAAAAACTGAGTCCACCCTCCTTAGATGTCATCAGTTATTACAGCGGTATGCCACCTGATGCTGGATTATCCATTGAGGCTTAGTTGAACATTGCTCTTCCTTCCAGGAGTGCTGGTGTGGCACTGTAGGATAAGCACTGGACTGCTAACCACTAGATTGGTGGTTGAAACCCAACAGCTGCTCCTTGAAAACTCTTTGTAAGGTCGCTATGAGTCAGAAGTGTGACTCAATGGCATATGACAACAACATTCTTTCCTGATGTGGCACTGTAGGATAACACTGCACGGTTAACCACAATGTCAGCGGTTCAAACCTACCAGTTGCTCCTGGGAAACCATATACAGGGTAGCTATGAGTCAGAGCCAACTCAATAGCACTTAACAATAATATTCCTTCCAGAGACATGACCAGCAAATGCAATATATGATTGGATTTTAGGTTGGGAGACATAATAAAAGACACTTTGGGGACAGTTGGGCAAGTTTATGGACTACATATATTAATTACATTGAATTGTGATTGAATTAATATTAATTTTCTTGAGTATGATGATGATATTTTTGTAATGAAGGAGAGTAAGTGTTATTGAGATAATATTTTTAAGTACCACAATGGTATTGTGAATAAGGGTATTCCTATTCTTAGAACATGCATGGTATCAAGGGATAGAGTCAAATGATGTCTACAGCTTACTAGCAAATGGTTTAGGAAACAAATATGCACGTGTGTGTGTGTTTGCAATACATATATGCACCATGTATGCACACATGTGGCAAAGAAAGTGTGGTAGAGAGAGTGAGAGAAAATCAGAATGTGGGGAAATCTTAACAATTTGCAAAACTAAGGTGAAGGGCACACGAGTGTTCATTATTCTATTCTTTCATGTTTTCTGTAAGTTTGAAAAATTTTGTAATTAAAAAGGTTTAAGGGAAAATTCTTTCAACTCTATACTGTACTTTCCTTTAGAGGAGTTTTAAAACAAATATAATTGATGTTCAATCTCATGACATTTCCCTGGATACTTTAACGTGCTTGGAGATTGGTACCTTGGGGAAATCCTACGGAACCTGACCTTATTTAACTGATGCTTCCTCTCCTACTTGAAGACTTCCTGCAATATTTAAACATTTAAATCCTACAACAGATAATTGAGTATATTTCATATTGTATGTATGTTTTAAGCAGAGCTTTGCTTAAACTTTTTCTTGGACTTTTTTCATAGAGGTATAAAGTTATGTTCCTTAGTTTCCCTGTGTAAGTTATTAAAAAATACCGTTGATTACCCAGATGTTTATGCTTCTAAGTTGTGCGTGATCAAATTCTGGGAGCTCTGGGCGTGGTCTGGTTGAGTGTTAAGGAGACGTGCTATGAAGATCTCTCTCAGACCTTCAGTTTATAGCCTTCAGCTTGTGTACATTATTTGTATGTGAATCACCCATCAGTAAACAGCTTATATGGCAGGGGAGATGAACCAAAGCAATTGGGCAAGAGCCCTCATTAAGTCTCCCTGTCAGTTTCCCCTAGGATGTTTTGAGTATAGTGCTTCCAGCCATTTGTCAGGAAATGACAATCCCTTCTATGTAAAGCCCTGAAGTTCTCCCTAATGGTCACAGGAACCGAGTGGCCCTGAGTGTCATGTGTGGGATTTGGTTCAGAGTGGCTGGTGGTACTTCCTCACTATTCATTTTTGTCTCTCCCATGAGTACAAATCAGGCTCAGCTCTGCCTCCAGACACCACTCTGAGTAGGTAGAGAGATTCCATAGCAATGTTTGTTTTCCTTCCTTTATTTTTCATTTTTGCTTCAGTTTTATCCATGTTATACATGGATGCCATTTTGGGAGCCAGAACAATCTCAGTCCCATCATCTGTTTCATGACGTTCTCCCATCTCCCACTTCCTAGAGACTGCTGCTGTCTATTCTTAGCTGATTCTTTTGGTATTTATCTCCAGGCTACTAAACAATATGCTTTCATTGACATTCTTGTTATTTTTTTAATGTTAGAATTATCTATTGGTTTCTTATTATAGAAAATTCAGACTTAGTTCTCTCTCCCCATTCCACTTCCCATGACCCATGTGTACTTGACATCTCTCCTGCTTCCTAAATAGTTATAAATAGGAGGAGTCCCCTGTTTACTATGGGGTTCCTTTCTTATGACTCCATTGTAAGTTGGTTTAGACCTAAGTCAAATACCCCTTTATTTATTAATTTTTTAGTCTTCATAGTCTGTCATATGGCAGCATTGTGAATGTAAAATTGTAACATTGAACATCTGTGAATGATAATATTAGCAGATGACATGCTGTAGCCTCGTTTGTAGTATGTATTACTAAACACTACCACTGTATTGGTAATTGTCATTGAGTATGTTCTAACTTATAACAGTCCTGTATAGTTTCCAGGGAGTGGGTTTGAACCACTGACCTTGGAGTTAGCAGTCCAGTGCTTATCTTACAGCACCACACTAGGACTAATGATAAGATGTACAAAAACCCACCCCCATAAAAGTGTAAATGGAGTTCATCATAATTTAAATATGTTGTAAATCAAGGTCTATCTGTAATAGTTTTGCTATTCAATATTGGCATTATTATTAGAACATATAATACTCTCGTTTAGTAATTGTTGTTTTTGTTAAGTGCCATCAAGTTGGTTCTGACTCAAAACTACCCTATATAGGGTTTGAACTGCCGACCTTGCAGTTAGCAGTCCAGTGCTTAATCTACAGTGCCATACCAGGACTCGCATTTAGTATTTAGTATACTTTAATCTTTTTCCGTTTCTTTCATGTTTTGTTTTTCTTAAAGTTTATAATTGCCAATATACAAACAGTCCTGGTGTGGCACTGTAGGATCAGCAATGGACTGCTAACCACAAGGTCAGTGGCTCAGACCCACCAAGCTGCTCCTTGCGTACCCTATATAGGTAACTTTGAGTCAGCACTTAACTATATATAAAGAGAGACATATGTGAATAAGAATTATGATGTACTTTTAAAATGATAGAATGAAAGAATGAAAGCAAAAGCAAACCTGCTGTTGTCAAGTTGATTCTAACTCATAGCCACTCCATGTTGTTACAGCATAGATCGGAAATCCAAAGAGTTTTTTCTTGGCTAGAACCTGTGTGAAAACAGACTGCCAGACCTTTCTTTTGTGTTGCTCCTGGATGGGTTCGAACTGCTAACCTTTTGGTTAGTAGTCAAGTATTAGAACAGAGATCTATAAAAAGTGCCGTGGAAACAGAAAAAGAAAGGATGAGTGTCTATATACTTACCACTTTTCGCTCTCCACACATCACTTGTCTAAATCTCCTCTCATCCCACTGAAACACATAGGTACTCTCTGTTTCATCTTTTCCTGCAGTGGACTCTGGGAAGACCTTCTCTCAAGTGGTTGCTCTGTACAGCTCTGGCTCATGTGTCATCCTCTGCATCACCCTCCAGGCCCCACTTTCATTTCTTCTCATCTCTGTTTCTGTAACTTTTGTTATTTAGATGTTGACCCTCCTGCACTGAACCTCTACTTTCCTCTTCTTTTCTCTGTTAAGTTCTGTGGATACGTTGGGACTTTACTGACTTCTCCGAGATGAAGATGTTCTAATAATTTGATTCCCCTGTCTTGTCTGAAATCTTTCTACCAGTTGAAAGCCCAATTCTTTTCCTTAATGTTGTTCTTTTTCACCTAAGCAACACTTTATTTTCTTATGATTATAAACAGTTTTTTCCTGTTTTATTGTTGAACACTCATCATGTTCATTCTTATGATAGAATCTGCTTCATTCTTCTGATATGGATTATTGCTAAATTTCCTTTAACTTCTCTTGGTTAATCTTTACTTAATTTTGCCACCCATTGTTTTGTCCGAGAATAGCTGTGTTCTCTTTCATGTCATAAAACAGGATTATAATAGATTAGATCCTTCTTTTCAGTCAGTTGGAAGTATTCCTTTCATGGCTGTGTTTATTGGATAAAGAGCTGGCAGTTTGGCTAAAAGGACATAACACAACATAAAAAGCAGGAAATTGATACTCAGTGAGGAAGTTAATTTATTTCTTGTGTTGCTCTTGTAAAGCAATATGACTCATTATCTTGCACGGGTTGATCCTACATTATGTTCATATTCCATATGTCACTCTTGGCATTAGCATTTGAACTACAAATTAGCAAGTCATGACCCAAATTTTCTCTCTCTTCATTTTGGTACCTAATCCCAGGACGGACATTCAAAGTGATTATTCTTATTATTATTGATAGTCTTTCAACAAACTCAGCTGCAAATGCTTTTTTTCCATATGGGAGTTGCTAAGCTCAGTTAAAAAAGTCAAAGGCAGACCGTGACAGGAAGGTGTTTTTAAGAGGAGGTTTGGGAAGGTTGGGGGGCTAATGGAAAGAGTATGTATTGGGGAGTGTGTATTGACTGTATGTACCTACCTAGCAGAAAGACAATGAATCTTCTAACTGTAGGAGATCAGGATTCCTAGACTACTTTCTGCTTATCTGTAGAGTCAC